GTGTCTGACACACAGGCGAATCTTCCTTCTGAGATGTGAAGTGAGGGGCAGGCTTCTCATCTGGTGTCATGACACCCTAGCAAATCTCTACATCAAGAAGAGGAGATGAGGGGCAGGCTTCTTCATCTGGTGTTCTGACACACAGGCGAAGCTCCACCTTCAGATGTGAAGTGAGGGGGATAGGCTTCTCATCTGCTGTCGTGACAGGCAGACAAATCTCTACATGATGATAAGAAAGCAGGTGCAGGCTTCTCATCTGGTGTCCTGAGGCCCAGACGAACCTCCACATTCAGACTGAAGGTGAGGTGCTGGCTTCTCATCTGGTGTCCTGACACCCAGAAGAGCTCTACACTCAGACTGAAAGCCAGGTGCAGGCTTCTCATCTGGTGTCCTGACACCCAGGCGAAGCTCCACCTTAATAAAACAAGGGGCTGGCTTCTCATCTGTTGTCCTGACACCCAGGTGAAACCCAACCTTCAGATGTGAAGCAAGGGAAAGGCTTCTCATGTGTTGTCTTGAAACCCAGCCGAGCTCCATCTTCAGAGTGAAAGCCAGGTGCAGGCTTCTCATCTGGTGTCCTGCCACCCACAGAGCTCCACATTCAGACTGAAAGCCAGGTGCAGGCTTCTCATCTGGTGGCCTAATGCCCCAGAGAAGGTCCACCTCCAGATGTGAAGCCAGGTGCTGGCTTCCCATCTGGTGTCCTGACACACAGACGAAGCTCGACCTTCAGACTGAAAGCCATGTGTAGGCTTCTCATCTGGGGTCCTGACACCCAAGCGAAGCTCTACCTTCTTACTGGAAGCGAGGCACAGGGTTCTCATCTGGTGTCCTGACACCCAGGCAAAGCTCCACCTTGAGACTGAAAGTGAGGTTCAGGCTTCTCATCTGGTGTCCTGACACCCAGGCAAACCTCCATCTTCAGACTGAAAGCCAGGTGCAGGCTTCTCATCTGGTGTCCTGACACCCTGGCAAAGCTCCACCTTCAGACTGAAAGCCAGGTGCAGGCTTCTCATCTGGTGTCCTGACACCAAGGTGAATCTCCTCATACAGATGTGAAGCTACTGGCAGGCTTCACACCTGGTGTCCTGAAACCAGGCAAAGCTCCACCTTCAGACTGATAGCGAGGTGCAGGCTTCTCATCTGGTGTCCAGACACCCAGGCGAAGCTTCACCTTTAGACTGAAAGCCAGGTACAGGCTTCTCATCTGGAGTCCTGACACCAAGGTGAGCTCCACCTTCAGACTGAAAGCCAGGTGAAGGCTTCTGATCTGGTGTCCTTACACCCAGGTGAACCTCCACCTTCAGACTGAAAGTGAGGTGCAGACTTCTCTTCTGGTGTCCTGAAACCAGGCTAAGCTTCACCTCCAGACATGAAGGGAGGTGTAGTCTTCTCACCTGGTGTCCTGTCACCCAGGCGAAACTCCACCTTCATACGGAAAGTGAGGTGCAGGCTTCTCATCTGGTGTCGTGACATCCAGGTGAGCTCCAACCTCAGATAGAAAGCCAGGTTCAGGCTTTTCATCTGGTGTCCTGATACCCAGGCAAAGCTCCACCTTCAGACAGAAAGCGAGGGGCCTGCTTCTCATCTGGTGCCCTGACACCCAGGTGAACCTACATCTTCATACTGAAAGTGAGGTGCAGGCTTCTCAACTGTTGTCCTGAGTCCCAGGGGAAGCTCCACCTCCAGATATGATGCGAAGTGCAGGCTTCTCATCTGGTGTGCTTACATCGAGGCCAAGTGCCAGCTTCAGAATGAAAGTGAGTTGCAGGCTTCTCATCTGGTGTCCTAAGAGCCAGGTGAGCTCCACCTTCAGACTGAAAGCCAGGTGAAGGCTTCTCATCTGGTGTCCTGACACCCAGGCGAAGCTCCACCTTCAGACTGAAAGCCAGGTGAACGCTTCTCATCTGGTGTCCTGACACCAGGCGAAGCACTACCTCCAGACGTGAAGCGAGGGGCAGGCTTCTCATCTGGTGTCCTGACACCCTGGCAAACTCCAACTCCAGATGTGAAGCCAGGTGCAGGGTTCTCATCTGGTATTCTGACACCCAGGTGAGCTCAACCTTCAGATGTGAACGAGGGTCAGCTTCTCATCTGGTATCCAGACACCCAGGTGAGCTTGACTTTCAGATGGAAAGCCAGGTACAGGCTTCTCATCTGTTGTCCTGACACCAAGGTGAGCTCCATTCTCAGACTGAAAGCCAGGTGAAGGCTTCTCATCTGGTGTCCTTACACCAGGCGAAGCTCCACTTTCAGACTGAAAGTGAAGTGCAGACTACTCATGTGGTGTCCTGAAAC